TGCCTTTTTAAAATTATTTTGTGTGTGTGTCAAATTGGATCTGACTGGTACAGGAGGAGATTGCCCCTCCTTCTCCAGCAGAGCCTCTGGTGGATTTGAACTGCATACCTCTGAGATTGCAGTGCAGTTTCTTGCCACTAGGCCTCCAGAACTCCCTGAATTGATGCCTTTGAGCTGTGGTGTTGGAGAAGAGCATGGACAGCTAAGGAAACAAACAGATATGTCTTGGAGAAGGTGTAGCCAGAGTGCTCTTTGGAGGCAAGAATGATGAGGCTTTGCCTCACATACTTCGGACATATTGCTAGGAGATATTATTCCTTGGAGAGAGACGTGATATTGGGAAGAGTGGAGGGCTGGCAAAGGAGAGGAAGACCCTCAACCAGGTACACTGACACAGTGACTGCTGTGTGTGAGGAAGTGTGAGGATGGTGCAGGAAAGGACTAAGTTCAGATCTTTTGTTCATAGGGTCACTATGAGCTGTATTTGACTCGATGGCATCTAACAACAACAACAACATCATCTCTGATTCTCATAAATGCCACCAACACTTCCAACAACACTGCCAGAGAGTTATTCCAGGAGTTATTCACTAAATGAACCACATTTGATTTACATCTGTGCATTTATTTATCTGTCAAGCATACAGGGTGTAATGCAAGACAACTGCTCCAGATGGTATAGAACAGTCTGCTGTTGTTATGTGCTGTTGAGTCACCTGTGACCCATAGTGACCCTATGTATAGCAGCTCCGAATCCTGTCTTGTCCTGCCTGAGCCAGTCCCATCAATTCTGACACACCAACCCCCACACTGTATAAATCCATCCCATCCAGGTTTTTCTTCTCTTGCGTGTCTCTCCACCCTTCCAAGCATAATGTCCTTCTCCAAGGACCAGTCTCTCCTGGCCATGTGCCCAAAGTATGCGAGATGGAGCTTCAAAATCCTAGCCCCCAAGAAGAAACTTGGTTTCACTCTCTGCAAGACAGACCTATTTGTTTTCTCCACAGTCCATGGTTTGTTCAAGACTGTTCTCCAGAACCACAATTTGAAGGCAACGATTCTTCTCCTCTCATCCTTAGTCATTGTCCAACTCTCTGAAGCATAACAAATAATTGCAAAGATCATGGTCTGGATTAGGCGCATCTTGGTTAAAATTTTGGGCAAGGAGATTGATTCAGAATACAGATATTACTAAAATTGGGTGAGAGAGGGCTGGTTTCGCTAGAAGCATAATTCAGAGATTCTCAGTGAGCAGGTGCAGTTTAATATTCTCTTAAATCCACTGCCAAGTCAGAGTAGTAAGACTTTAGGGAAGGTGACCACCGCTCAGCTTTCTATTCAAACTGCCAACTTTTCAGCTATCAGCCTGATAAATTATGCAGCACGCCACCAGAGAACCTTAATATTATCCTGTTGTTGTTGAGTACCATCAAGTCGGAGCAGATGGTGGATTTGAACTGCTGTCTTCAGGATTGCAGCGCTGTTTCTTACCACTAATTGTTGTGTACTATAAAATCGGAACCAACCCATAGCTGACCCTCCTGCAGGTTTTCGGTTTTAAAAAATGTTTTCATTATTATTAATTTTAATGAAAATTTACAGAGATTTTGGATTTCCATTCATTCATTCATTGTTGTACTTTTCTCCCTGCCCACCCCCCCTCCCCATTTGCTCTTCTCTTTGAAAAGTAGAAGAAAAATTCTTTCATTGTTATACAATTCCTCCCCCCAAGTCCACTCCACTCTGCAGCCTTCGTTCTGGACTCCTGTCATGACAATAATATCTAATCACACATTCCTTTTAAACAGTTCTCTCCCTCATCTGTTCCAGTGCAGTATATATAATTTATCCCATCTTTTCAGTCTCCCCCAACCCCAATGTCAGTCTCATTTTACAATAGTGGCACAATGCAGTATTTGTCCTTTTGTGACTGAGATATTTCACTCAGCATAATGTCCTCCAGGGTCACTCATTTTGAATAATATTTCATGAGTTCCTTGTTTTTCAATGCAGCATAATATTCCATTGTGTGAATATACCACAGCTTCTCTATCCATTCGTTTGTT